TTTTAGGTAAGCTATGGCCGTAATGTAATGAATAGGTAAGTTAAGGCTACGTTGTAACACATACTCATTAATAGATTTAGGGTTTAAGTTTTATATTATTATTACTAAGTTGGAGCCCAAGGCATTACGTAGGTGGTGGGGTGGGTGCCGAAAGGCCAATGAATTGGGCTCTTGAGTTTTGTAATTTTAGGTAAGCTAGGGCTTAATTGTAATGAATAGGTAAGTTGAGGGTACGATAGCCGATAGACTCTGAATTTCAAAGTCTCTTGTCAGAGGTAAGCCTTGGTGGCCAGTGGTGAACCGGCAATGGTTTACTATCCGGACGGCAATGGTTTACTATCTGCACGGTAATGATTTACTATGCGGCATGGCCATAGTCTACTACCCGCACGGCTTCCGGACGGCAAATGGTTTACTATCCGCACAGCAATAGTCTACTATCCGCACGGCAATGGTTTACTATCTGGTGCCCTGGCTGTCGGTGAGCCTCTGTGCAAGGAGGGAGAATGAAGGGGGCTTTCGACTATCGTACCATTAACAATTTAATATTGATTAGTTAAGGTAATTAAATAGGTAGATAGGATTATTTTTATTAAGCAATTTGAGATGCAAGCACCGCTAAGCTTTCTGATGAGAATATTCTCTTTATCTTTCTCCATCCCATGGGCTGTGTTTCAACAACAATCTCGAGGAGGACTGGCACCAGTTTTGGAGGACAACGTAGGAACAGGAAGGCATTCATCATTCTGCCTTTGTCGAATGGACGACGGTAAGTTTTTTTACATTTTACTCTCTTTATTATTTTAAGATATTATTTATTTGCCATCATTTTTTTTTTATACTTTTTTGCTTCTAAAATTCTAACATTCATTTACTACTACGCTAATAAAAAAAAATTGTCTACAGGATGATGAGAGGTGGGCAGTGGTGGGAGTCAGCAAGTTTCAGATGGTGGTCTCATGATGATTTACGTATGATGATGGTGGTGTAGGAAGAATCAGCGCGTTGGCTTTTCGACTGACACTCAGAAGTCCGGATGAAATCATGTGTGCCGACCTGAATGTGGTGGTCGGTGCAATGGATTACAGTAACGACGATTTTTGAAATAAGGTTTAGTTTAATTTTTTTTTATTTTTCTCATTCATTTATTTTTTCACTCAATTTTTCAAATTATTCTTCTATTAATTGACGTTAATTCATTCTATTCATTCATTCATTCTTTTAACCAATTATTTAATCATTTATTCGTTCGTTCCTTGATTTACTACTAAGGTAATAAAAAAACAAAAAACTTGTCTACAGAATGATGAGAGGTGGGCTGTGGTGGGCGTCAGCACGTTTCAGATGGTGGTCTCATGATGATCGTTCCGATGACAATTTGAAGATAATATTTAAGGTAAATTTTTTTATGCCCCATCGTACCATTGAAAGTACTCTAATTTAAACAAAGGATTGAGTGTCATCTCGATAAGATAAGTTGCTTATTTTCCCCAATGGCTTGTTTTTTATTTTAAAGAATTAATTTTTTTTCAATTTAGAGTTTTTCAGTAACCGGTCAAATTCGCTATTCCATCGGTGCGTGTCAGATGATGGTCGGTGCAATGGAGCTTCGTCAGTAGCGAGTCAAAAAGTTTCTGGAGAGTACACGTGCGCACATTCACACACACACACACACACACACACACACACACACACACATCAATACAACACACCCATACACAGCATCCATTCATTCGGTGTCGTTGTTTTGTTTCTCTTCAACTTTCTATTTTCTTTACCGGACTTAATTTAATTCATAGGTAAGTTAGGGAATGAGATGAGTTGAACAATCTAAGCTAGGGCTAGGGTTTAACATTAGTTAAAAAGTTTTAAATAAAATAAAAACGCTAAAATATGTAAAATAAAATGCCTGAAACATGTAAAATTCCTAAAACGTAAAAATACAATTTGTAGGTAGGTAGATGAGTTGAGTTAACCATTATAGGTAAGCTAGGGCCCTGAGAGTAATTTAATTGTAGGTAGGTGACTGACTACTATTCTTGCGACTTCTTACTAATTTTGTGTGGTGTGTTTGTTTTCGCTTCACAGAACCATACCAACAAAACACTATACATATATTTTTTTTTCGTCGTCGCCTTAACTTTTACCTTTTTGAACAATCTTTTTAATAGTGTCTATTTATTTGTTTGTAAAATGTTGACTGATTTCTAGTTTTTTTTAATTTTGGTTATATAATTTTTGGATATTTCTTGATTTACTTTGTATATATGCATGTATAAATAATTACGGTTTGGTATGTTGATTTAGTCATTATGATATGCTGCGAACTGTCCTTACTAAATGTTATTGCTACGTGAATCATCCTCCGAGAACTACTGAGGGGTGTTACATTTGTTTGTTTAAAATTCGAATTTTTTTAAAAATTTACTTTTTTAAATTTTAATTTTCCGCCATTTTATGATATTAAATAAAAGGAACTGTTGTGTTTTTCGTTTTTTTTTTATTAAAATTGTTCCTAACCACACCAAAACAAAACAAACTACATTTCATTCTCGTCGTCGCCTTAAATTGTACCTTTTCGAACAATCTTTTTAATGTCTATTTATTTATTCATTAAATGTTGACTGGTTTCTAGTTTTTTTTAAATTGGTTATATAATTTTTGGATATTTCTTGATTTACTTTGTATATATGCATGTATAAATTATTTCTGTTTAGTATGTTGATTTAGTCATTATGATATGCTGTGAACTGTTCTTACTAAATGTTCATGTTACGTGGTTTATTATCCTTCGAAATCTTCTAAGGAGTTTGTATAACAATAATGGATAATAATTATTTTTATCGGTCGATATTTTGTTATATTTGTTTATTTAAAATACGAATTGACTTTTTAAAATTTTAATTAACCGTCACTTTTCATTTTTGAATGAATTCAAATAAAAGCAACTATTGTGTTTTTCTTTCTTTACTAAAATTTCGAAATTGTTTGTAGATCTGTACGGTTAACTGTTTGTTCGAGTTTGAACAGGCCTTGCAAATTTTTTTATATTTATTTTTGTTTTTATTTTAACCGTTGTTAAGATACTTAACCGTCATACAGCAATATCTATCCTAAAACAGCATTTAGTATCACCTTTTAAAACATTTTGAAATTTTAAATAAAAGCAATATTCCAAAATTAGTAAATATTCGATCGTAACTTTTGACTTGGGCGATAAAAAATCACCCTCCAATTCCCTCTCCGGAAGTAAGCTCCTTGTTCGACCGTCAAAAATGATCGAAGGCCGTTATATTTATTCTAATTATATGGTTTAACATCATTCTATACATTCGTATAAGTGTATGTGCATCATCGTAACTTTCGCAATGGCGCAATGGAGATTGTTCGTCACACCTGACTTTTCATACCTACAATGAAAACGAACAGCATTGCTTCAATCTTTTCTAAAAATCATGTAGTGTTAAATTACAACGTATCGTAATAACAAAATTCCACTCTTAATCTACAGCCACACAGTCTTTGAAAGCCAAGCAAGTTATGGCCTTGGAATGTCCAGTGAACTCACGAATCACATCACCACTGACGGTGTTCCATAATCTGGCCAGGCCGTCTGAGGAAGCTGGCGTGTTGATACATTAATCATCTCATTCGTATTCTCAACAACACAATACTTGCCATTATATATGACAAACTGTAAACTATAATCAATAAGCTATAGCTTAATAAGAAATTATACTAGATGCCACCATACCAGTGAAAATGAACTGTGAATCGTCACTGAACGCACAATCCCAAACCCATCTCTGTTGCTTGTTGCCCAGCTCCAAGGTCTTGATATTCCCCAAGGTGCTCCATAACCTCGTCGTACCGTCAGCTGACGTCGTCGCAAGCAATCTGAGAAATTCATATTTGCGCCACGTTACTGAACTTATTTGTACAACAACAACAACAACAACAACAACAACAACAACAACAACAGTAATCAGTTCGTAGACATGAAAATGTATTATATGAAAAATTATTATGAAGCCTTGAAAAATTATTTTTACGTTTCGTCGGGACTGAATTGGCACTTGATTGCGTATCTCTGGTGCGCTAAGAATTTAGATTTGAATTCTAATTTAGACCCATCACCATCCAACGAAGATTTCGTTATTTGCCATCGGTGGCAATAACCCTGTAAAACACATCTAAGCATACGTTATGTATTAAAACTTAAATCTAAATTAAGCGCTAAAGACTTGCAACAATGTACAAACGTTTAAAAGTACCAAAGTAATTTAAATGAATAAATTAAACAGAAAAATAGAATGATGTAAGAAGGACTGACCTTGCCGTTGACGGCAGCTAGATATGTACCATCACAGTTGATGCTTATGCACTGTACGGATGCACCTCTGTCATGTTGCTGAATCACGTTAATTCATTAACTAATTATACATAATTCATTCATTCATTCATTTTCATTCATTTATCTATTCCCAAGCAAAGTAACAGGTTAATGTATTCGCTTAAAACTTTATACCATATCAAAACATTTAAACCCTGGTACAGTTAAAAAAATAATGGACCAACTGACCAGTTGTGTCTTTTTATCATTCTTGATATCCCAGATGTGGATGTTTCCATTCTGATCACCAATGAAGAACTCTCTCTAACAAAGTAATTCAATGAAAAATAAATAACACTTACTCAACTGTTATCACGTAAAAATTACAGCATTACATTGTAATTACATTAGTATGCAGGGTGGCTGAAAAGTAAGTGTACAGCTATCACGTAAACTGTAACAACAATAACAAACAAGTATCTTAATCATTAAACCTAACCATAACTGTTAGGATAAAATTGAAAACCTGGTTAGGGTGAAAGCACACTGTGTTGGCAGAAGATCCAACTGAGTACTGTTTTTGACAATTTGTGTTTCGAGCTCTGCAAGAAAAAAATATTAATTTGCTATATTTCAATTTTACTTATCATTTTTCTCAAGATGATATAAAACCTGTTTAATATTAACCTATATATAAGCATTTTTAACTAACAAATATAAGAATATGTATTGCACTGTGAAAAGTTTTTTCTTTTAGTTTTTCTCTTTCTTTTTCTCTCTTTCTTGTTCTTTTATTTTCTATGTATTATAAAACATTAGAGTTTTATATTTAAAAGAAAAATGTCCTTGACCTTGTATCCCAAATCCGGACAACACCATCCTCACCAGCACTGAACATCCATTTACATTCACTCTGGAATCCAACAGTCGTCACATTCTTTGACATTCCCTCGTAGTTTGCTATGGGATTGGGATTACTGCCGAGAAGGTCGTACAGTCGAATGCGTTGGTAGGCTGTGGTTATTTATTTCACATTACTAAATTCAAGTGATTTTTTTAATTTAAAATTTAACTCAATTAATTTAATGACTTCAAATTCTTTTTTCAAATTTGATATCTGGATAGTAAATTTAATAAAAACATTAAGAAGAATTATTTTTAACAAAATATTTTACCGGCAACAGCTAAAAATTTTCTGTCAGGAGATATTTCTAAGTCATTCACTTGCTTGGAATAAAAATTAAAATCAATGGAAAGATTTTTATTTTTTTTTACTTTATTTCATGTTTGTTTATTTAAATTTAAAAATTTTTAAAATATTACAAAATGATTCATTGAAAATTAAAATTAATTCATAATTAATCACAAAATAGATAGACTTGAAATTATTTTAATTAAATTAAATTGATAGCACACACACACACACACACACATGTACAATTGTACGTAACATACGCACTGAATCTACATGTTGTATTGTTCGATAGCAGTTCCCACTTTGAGCCTGCCAAAATTTTATCTGGTGGTCGTAACTGGCCGTCACGAACAGGACCCTTTCATACATGGGATTAGAGTCAAAAATCTTTTTTCGTGTGCCCATAACTGTAATTTAATGAAAAATAATGAAATATACTGTAGTAAAGTTAATAAAGCAATAAGCTGTAATTCATTTATTTAATTATTCATTCATGACTATTCAATCGACTGATTAAATTTTGAGGTAATTCGCAGTAAGCAAAACTTTTAAGATTGAAAATTTAAATGCGGACTTAATATGAACGTTTAAAAGTGAATATAATGTAAAATTAAAATTTTGCCACTTGCTTTAATCTACATATATGGTCTAATGTGCCAAAATGTTTTGGTTTTATCAGCGCTGCCGAACCATAGCTAGTGTTATAGCCGCTATCAGTTAATATTAATGTGAGGATAATTGTATTTTTTCTTATTTCAGAAAAACTCTAAACTGAGAAAGGCAAGATAGAGCTCTTGAACCACTAAAAACTTTCACTCAAAAGTTTTAACAACGACAAACACGCAATGTAAACGTGAACAAACCACACACTTTCTACTAATGGTAAGAGGAGCCATATGCAAACAAGGATTCGGAATTCAGCATCAGTCAGCTTCTGAATTAACTACTGCCAACCTTTGTTCTAGAGTGTAGTGCTTTACTAACTAATGCAAATACTAACCATACCATCATTGCTGACAATTCCGTTGATTGTTGATGGTAATGTTGCTGGTGTGGTTTCTGACGTTAATGATTTTGATGGTGTTTATCATACTTCGCTCATGTTGAATATTTTGATCGTAAGGTCTTCGTTTTTGTTGTTAAACATTTTCATTTGAGGTTTTTGATAAAGTTAAAAACATAGCTTCATATTCGGATACCAACTGCCTTTTACTGCTCTATCTGTTTTACAATACGACAAAATAACGATTGAAAACCTACACGATATATTTGCATTACGATTAAAACATCGAAATTCCCAACAAAGCAAATCATTATTGTATGTTGTTTTCAAGTAGGTACGTACATTTTAAACATTTTCTTTCAGGCATGAAGTATGCATACTAATGAGCAGTTGCTCGTCTGCTTTTCTTCGTGTCCATCAATCAAAGTAGGAAGCCATGCTCGGTGGATAATTTGTCTACTCGCTCATCCCTTTGGGATCACCATAACTGCCGAAATGTTTATCTTGCTTACATGCGTTGTTTGCCTTTTGTACTCTTAATTTTATTTTTTGTTAAATGTATCACCATCGCTATGTTTTCGGGCCGTTGTGCATGTCACACAAATGAGACAAATTCAAATTTTATTTAAATTTTAATTAAATTTTACACATCCCTTTAATCTTTAATGTAACGAGAATTTTGGATTTGTTATTTATTAAACTAAATAAAGTTGAAGTGATTGAAAGGTTGATGAGATGGACAAACAACAACGTCCTGTCTAATCCTTAATTGAAATAAACTACACGTGGAACACGCTAACGACTGCCAACCATCAAGTCAACAACGAAATAAACATTGGCAGCATACAAACGAACAACAACTAAACAAACGAACAAACAACAAACATACAAACAAACAAAAATCAAAAACAAACAAGCGGGTCGAGCAAAACGTAATAAGAAATGGAAAAAATACAATGAAAACAAAACATACTTTGACATCATGTAGATAGAAGAAACAGACATATAAACAGATATACAAACAGACATACAAGCCAAATTTGAAAACATGCAAACGAATATGCAGAGAGACAAGGGAGAAAGCCAAGTATGACAACCCTCGTTAAAGATCATGATGTGACGTAAATAAGATTTAAAATAGGAGTTATGCGGCCCGTCATGTTCGCCGAATTGAAAAGTTTTACTGTTGCTGCTGTTGTTGTTGTAGTAAGTAGTAGGAGTAGTAATTGTGGTAGAAGTAGTAATGGCATCAGCAGTAGCAGTAGTAGCAACATCAGTATCAGTAGGAGTGGCATCAGCAGTCGTAGTAGTAGTGGCAGTTGCAGCAGTAGTAGTAAAATAGTAGTAATTGAAGTAGTAGTAGTGGTAGTGTAGTAGTAGTTGTAATAGTAGTAGTAGTAGTAGTAGTAATAATAGTAGTAGTAGTGGCAGTAGTAGCAGTAGTAGCAGTAGTAGTAGTAGTAGTAGTAGTAGTCGTAGTAGTAGTAGTACTAGTAGTACTAGCAGTACTACTAGTAGTAGTAGTGGTAGTAATAGTAGTAGTAGTAGTAGTACTAGTAGTAGTAGTAGTAGTAGCAGTAGTGGTAGTAGTAGTAGTAGTAGTAGTAGTACTAGTAGTAGTAGTAGTAGTAGCAGTAGTAGTAGTAGTAGTAGTAGTAGTAGTAGTAGTAGTAGTAGTAGTAGTAGTAGTAGCAGTAGTAGTAGTAGTAGTAATAAAGTTTATAGCTGTGAGATGATGATGAACAATCAACATAAAAAAAAACCGCCTGACATTAATACGACGAAAGTGATGGCTTGTGAGAATAGGAAGGTGATGATGTTGCTAGTAATGATTTTTCTGTGGTTGTTGATACGGATGATGATGACGACGACGACGATGATGAGGATGTTAATTTTAATGATGAGCATGTTGATTGATATAATCATCATCATCACCATCATCATCATCATCATCAATGGTCACCGTCATTCTTACCATCATAATCCTCATCAGTATCATCACCATTATCAAATTTATCATCATCGTCATCATCACCATAGTTCGTAAAAATTAGCGTTGAAGCTGTATATTTATCATTAGCGTTTGGATCGATTTGATATCATCATCATCATCATTATCATCATCATTATCATCATCATTATCATTATTACCTTGGTTTCGTGATCCTTGAGTTTATCATTTTTATAGATGCATCATCATCACCATCATCATCACTATCATCATCACCATCATCATCACTATCATCATCACTATCATCATCACTATCATTATCACCATCATCATTTTCATCATCATCATTATACAACTATCATCATCAATCATTCTCGTCACAATTTTTATCATCATTGTTATCATCATGCTGAGAGACTAATAAATAATTCTGTCTTGAAATGATCGCATCATTATCAGTGATGACGTCATAATTATCGTCGTCGTCATCGTCATCATCATTGTCATCATCATCGTCGTCGCCATCATCATTTGGCATCACATCTCCAGAGATATTACGCCAATTAAGACATGCTCACGTGAGGCTTGCTACGAATGATTGAAAGATAAAAATGAATGACTAAAAAAAATGAATGAAATAATGATCAAAAAAACGGTCGAATGAATGAACGAACAGACGAACGAAGGAACGAAAGACAAAAAAATAAATGAATAAATAAATAAAAACAATCAAACAAAACAAATGAAAAATTTTACAGAATGAACGGAGAAACATTTCAAGAATGATAATATAAAAAATTAAAAATTATAAACCACAGTCACCACCATCATCATTATCACCATCGTAACGTTCTTCTCGGTGACGTCATAAGAGAGTCACGTGACTAAATACGTTCATCCGATCAACCAATAGCAGAGGAGGTAGCGAGAAGGCGGAAGAGTTAATGCGTGGCTTTGTAATTTATATGAAGTGCTATTTGGCATGCGTCATTAATGAAATCTACGCCATTTTGTTTTTACGGACATCATCATCATCACCATCATCATCCCCACCACACCACCACCATCATAACCATCATCATCATCACCACCACCACCATCATCATCATCATTGTCGTCGTCGTCGTCATAATCAATTTTATCACAGCATATCATTTGTAGAAACTACATGATCGATTGCTAATACTAATTAATCAGATTAAAATACCTATATAGGTACACATATATACATACATACATTTATATATATATGTGTGTGTGTGTGTGTGTGTGTGCGTGTATAT